AATTCATCCGCCGTAACCATTTCGACTTTAGCAGATGCAACTTCTTCAGTATCACCTTTGGCTGTATGTTTTAAAAATCGTTGAACTTTCTCTTGGTTCTGCACCAGTTCGAAAAAGAAGGCCTCAAGGAATGTCCGTCCCATAATTGGGTGTTTCAGTGAGATAGGTACGACAAGAGTTGGCACCAGTCGGGTAAGACTACCGACCGTATATAATACATCCACTTTACCAATGGCCTTAAATGAAATCGAATTATCGGCAAGACCAATGGAGGTTTTGGTAGGTTGCAACTGCCTTCATCTGTACTTCTCATAAAATTTTTGTGATGAAGTAAAACCGTATGAGAATGATTGTTAACCATAACCGTGAGATAATCGCGACAATCGTTCGGAATGTTATATGTCAAACATTTCTCTGAGATAAAGAAAACATCGCGGAGTCGTGGTTGGTTAACTTGATTGACTGCGTCTTGTTGGTTAGTAGGGACTGGAGCTGAAGTAGGTTTGGTAATTGGTAGTGTTCGTTCAGAACATTTAGTTGATGGTTCTTTGCCATCCCTTTGAATTTGATTAGATTCATTAAGAATCAGAGTAGAATTATTATTGGAATTCGGGACTGAAGATTTATCGATTTGTAGAAGGACTTCGGTAGAGCGCGGATTGTTAGAGACAGTGGATTTAGATAAAGTTGTGGACTCTGAGTACGATGGACCACTATTCCCAATCGACTCCCTTACGCGTTTTTTTAACACGAGCATCGATCGGACGTAACTCCTGGTCGTGTACATTTGTAGCACATCACCCGATTCGGTTGGGTTTGACACTTTTTGAAGTGATGGCCCCACACGAGACATTTGGCACATCGTACATTTTCGTCGCCCTCAACAACGAAAAATCGGTCGACGATAGTTCCTACCTTTGTATCATTCTCCTTTGGATTTTTGTCATTTTTATAATCCTCGACTGGTTTCGAATACCTATGTTTTTGAGATGCTTTAATTGGTTTCTTTTGCTTGTTCAAGTATGCACATTCCCTGTCATCGGAGTCGGACCCAGGGAACGAAGCGGTATATTCCTAATGTGAAGAATCATCCGGTAGATCATGTATTGCCGAAATTTCCCGTGGCACTGATCGCTGTCTATCCGAACGGGTTCTTTCCGGTGGGGTGTGGCAACAATGAACGAATGTGGTGCAATTCGCTGAGCGAACTCACGCAATTGCTCCAGCGTGTGGACTTGTCGAGTGTGGACGAGTTCACGCAGATGATCGGATAAGGTACCAATGATGATATCGAGGTGGTCCCGTTCCTCCAGTCCACAGGAATTACCCTGCAATTGGAATGTCAAGTCATCGATATGTTTCAGCAGTGTTTGCGAACACGGATCGAATTTAATCTGTGCATATGACATTATTACTTGGGCCCGAGTTTGTTTGTTGAGGAAACGAGCACGAAGTTTCGTGCAAAAATCTTGATAATCTCCGAAGTTTCTCAGTTCGGTGAAGTACCATTGTCGAGCAGCCCCCGTGAGTGTGGGTACCAAACGCGTTACCAATTCATGGTCGGGTACTCCAATCTTATATCGAAATGAGCCAATAATAGCCAAATAATCTTCAACCGATAGAAATTTTTCGTTCACATCCATGATGGTAAGCCTCTGAATTTCCTATCCATTGCATCCGCTTGGGCAGATTCGTCGAACATAGTGGCTTGATTTGGTCGTGATTGTGGTGGACCGGATAGCGAATAATTCGGATATAAATGAGATGGTGAGTAATTGGTTCTTGGATATGAGACGTTCTAACACCACGGTAGGTATTGATCGTTTGAGTTTGTAAGGTTGCAGGACCACCCAAAGAACCATGCGGAGGATCCACCGAGGGTGGTATCCAGGTATGATTCCAGGTCGTTGGCATGGTTTGGTTCATATCACGAACGTCAGGAATTTGTGTCTGCAACTGAAGCCGATCACGGATCATTTGCTGTTGCATCTGTGTTTGGGCTCTCAGCAACTCACAGACAGTTGGTGTAATGAGGGTGTTGGTTCCGTTCCGCCTGACACTGAATTGAGAACGGCTGGTTGAGCATTTGAATTAACCGTACTGGTGGTCAGGGTATACCGTGGTTCAGTTGCCTGAACCGAAGTCGGTATATTCTGGTTTGGAATCGAATCTGGTATGGTTAAGGGTAAATATTGTGATGGAACAGTATTTTGAGTTGAACTCATCGTTCCCCGCTCATTCTCAGAACCATGGAAGGTCGAGTTCAAACTTAATCGGGAATCGCCCAACGGGAATCCCGTATTCGGTGAAGACATCCGAAGTTCCCGAATCTTCGACTGAAATTTTCCGATCAGATCTGCCTGGCGTGTAGCCATTTGATGAAGACGACCCTGAGGTGTTAACACCTCATTCGCCTCCACTTCCCGATAGGCTCTCTCACATATTTCCAACTCATTCATTGGGTGTAGGGCATAGGATTTTATCAACCATGGTTGGCCAACGTAAGCAGATATTTTACCATTGAGAGCGGCTATTTCGGTGTCGGTCCATTGAACCGGCGCTGGATATAGGTTATATATCTCCCCTTCGATCTGTCGCTGTTCGTCTGTCAAATAAGTTGCATCGAGGATGGGAAACAATTCCATGTTCAAAGACTCAAATACCAAGTTGTAAATTCAGATTATTAAAAAAATTCTGCCAACGGTAGACGTACAGTCCGTACTATTAAAGTCTATGTTATAGGATGATGGCACTCGATTTAAAATCAGTACAGTATTTACTTCAGTTTATTATTTATTATTATTATTATTATTTTATTCCGAGTATGTCGTTTTGAATATCCACTTTCAAAAATAATGCCGCATAAATCGATCACTATTTGAATATTGCTTTAAATCTAATTAGTTTAACAAAAAATTCACGCTTAATTGGTTGTATTCTTCATGTGATTTTCGGTCCAAAATTTTGTTTAATATTATACCGAACGTGGGCTTAGAATGGCGTTTAACGCATGGCGTTTAAGGACCAAGTTGTTTGCTCCTGGGATGCAGCGAAGGCCTTGAATACTTGGGAGTATTACCTGTATCTCCTTCGGTCCCTTCTGTCGCCAACAAGGTACGCAACAAAGATCAAGACTATCCACCCCCGAATTTACTGGAAGACCAAATCAGACTGAGAATATTCAACCAGTTTGAGAATGTTAAACGAGATTAATTTGATACAAGTTTCAAAATTTTATTGGGAATGAATACCCAAAGAAATCACAAAAAAAAATAAAGAAAAATTAATAGTTTGGATCAATTAGTATTAACCGTGTTATCGGTTACGTTGCTTAAACTTATACCGAAAGACGAAATGAAAAATTATCGGTTCAAAAACCTTGACCGTCGATGTGTGGTGTTACTTGATTAAAAAAATGCAATTAACTTGCTTTTCAGAATTGGCGAACTGAGCTGAACGAGAATGGTTATGACTGCTGATCAATGGTGTTCGCATCGCAGATCGATCACCATTCACCCCCGCGGAATTAAATAATCAAAATATCCAAAAATTTTTGATTGAAAACGAGCTCCAATAAAAATCAATTAAATCATGCCGTGTAAAGACTGAGGACGATATTGATTTACAGTGATTATGAATTCAAAAGATAATTATTTCATTCAATCTCAACGATGATTTATAATAGCGGAATTTCCAAAAGAAAAATTTATCAAAAATCTATTAAACTCGAATATGTATGGTTCACGGACGTACAATTTTGTGACCAACAAAATGAGAAAAACGACTAAAAGATTTTAATTTTTTCTTAAATCTAATTTTATGATGTATTAAATTGATTCGATGATGAAATTGCTATTTTCCCTCAGCTGAGCACGCGGTTATTTTATGCCGGGCTTAAGTGTGGTTATGTTCAACAACAACTTATTCTTTTTCACCCGTTTAGTTGGGCGCCAGTGACTCAATTGCTGTCAAATGAATAGTCCAGATTTGATGCTCACAACTTCTTTATTCTACGCAACAACATGGCTGGGGATTTGCTGGAAGGAATGTGACGGCACCCTTTGCCTCTATTAATTTCCACTGAAGGGTGAGTATCGACTCCCCGAATGTCGCCAGCTTTTCATACAAGCTTTTAATCCACTTTAATTACTTGGTTGTAATTCCGTTCTTGCGAGGGCTGATGAGTGTGGTTCGCTCCATGTCCAATTCCAAAAAAAAAAATTTATTTTTCTAGCCTCGTGGTATATGCCCACCGATTCTTTTATCGTATGTCAGTGTGGGCGTTTTCATAGTGGCCATGTCAATTCGTGTCTATACTGATATAATGGTTCGTGTCTTGAATAACTATTGGTTACGTAGATTCATCTGGCAATCCCCCCCATTTTGAAGTTTAGTCAAAAGTTTTGTTATGTTTACATTTCTCATAATCGTTCTTATGTCTATTATTTG